ATTAGTCGAGATTAATAGATTCCCTCCATACAAAATACTTATTTTGTGGTCTTTTTATCAATGCAAATAAATTGTGATTGATTTATATTTCTGCTTTTTGTATGCTAATTTAGATATTTTTTCCTTTGTAAAAGTTGTGTCATTAGTGTAAAGAAAAAATATGTTTTAACCAAATAGCCAAGATTTGACTCGAACATTTTACAAACCTACTTTCCCCCTTCAACCAAAAAAATTAAACTGGAAATGATCTCATCAAATTTCGAGTTGATCATCGCAGAAACAAGAGTAGGAATAATGTGAAATATTTTGCGGTGTTCAAAATGGAAATTTCATGGTTGACTGAGCGTTTCCTTTAATAACGAAATATGTCAGTATTAATATATAAACACGCCGCAGTAGAGGGATCAGGTTACTTGATGATCACTAAACATCGGTCTGGTAATTAGGAGAGAGGGAAATATCGTTTCACCATTGATTTGACTCAAACATGGTTCAGAATAAAAAACTCTTTTAAATACATGAAAAATGTCCACTAATATTAACTGGTTAAATAACTATGCTTCTAAGTAAATTAACCAAAGTCTAAGTAAAATAACGGGTTTTTAACTTGTTTTTAACCAATTAGTTGTAAACATTCAACCATTAACATTTTTTTAAATTACCAACCGGTTTTTATAACCTTAATTCAAAGGTTATTTTTTCAGGATAATTTAACTAATAAAATAAACCTATTAGTAATATTACTAACTAGTTTACCAATAGGTAAATTTAGGTTTTTTAAGAGTTTAAATTGACTATAAATAAACCAAATATTTAACTAGTTAGTAATATTACTTATAAGTTAATAGTAGGTTATTTTAGAAGTTAGATAGCGTTATATTAAATTCTAATTTAACCTTTGAAAACTGTTTAGACTAGTTATTTGTTTAGACATATTTTGGTTTTGGTTTAACTTTTATATTACTTTTTGGTAAATTACCAAAGCTTTGGTTAATTTGAGTATATTTTTTTAACCAACAAGTTAAATTTTACCAAATAAATTTTAACTCGCGGATAAATTAACGCTAATTAATAAACTGGATTGTTTTGCAGCTTTCATTTTTACCTTGTTTTTTATTTGTTGTAATTTTAAAAATAAGAAGTTGGTTTAATTTAACTAATTTTGGTAATTATTAACTATAATGTGTTATGTTAACTGAACTTAAACCATAACCAAAAAGTTATAAATTACCGATATATCGGTATATATACATATAGGTAAACTTTAACTACTTAGTTAAATTAAACACAATAAAATAACCAAATGGTTTAAATAAACTTGTATGTTAATTTATATTGGTTATATAACCAATAAGTAAAAGCACCCTTAAATCGCCATATTGTTTTATTTGTTTTATTCCAAAAATAAGGTAATTTAAACATACCAATAATAAAACATTATAATATTTTAATATTTTTTTATTTTTATTTTCTTTATTTTTTATTTTTTCAAAGCGCATTTAAAATATGAAATTATTATGTACTACTTCATCAAAAAAAAAAATTGTCCCATTGGGTTTATCATGTTGCCAAATTTAAAAAAAACACTACATTTTATATAAGTTATGAAGCATTTAAATTTTAAATGGTGCTATGTAAAAGTATGTATCTCTGACTAAAATAAAATTTTACAAAACTCAAAATAGAAACATGTTTTACCTTGACGGGCATACGATATCTAACGTATGGGTTAATGAAACTGTGACTTCATCCAGAAAGGCCTTTTAAGATGGATTTCCGGATTAAAAAATACCTCAGGAAATAAAAACAAAATTGGTATTCGTTTGCCACCATACCGTTGCGAGCTTAATACCATTTAGTTTATATGGACTGAAGCTAAAACCTTATAGATCATCGTAATACAACTTTTTAATAAGCAATACAAAGAATAACCAGCAGAGAAATTAAAAATGTAAAGGACAAAGTTGAGCCAAAAATTTGGGAGATGGGTACTGTCCATTGGACAGTTTTATGAAGGTATAAGTTAAAATTAATAATACTTTGGATTCAAGTTTCATGATTTTAATCAAGTAGGATTAATTTTTTTTATTTTTCATTATTACATTATATACTTAATATTTTAGTTAAAAATAATTAAAAACCACACACAACCTAATTAAGTAGTTCACCAAAAAGAGTACAAACTAACATGATTATAAAAAAACTTTCAATTTAATTTCAATTATTTTCTCCAGACTTTCCGTTGTGTAAGTTACATTAAAATAAGGTCCATTGCACAATTTGTTCATTAAAAACTGTCCTTATCTGCATTTGTACGCGGGCCTCAATACTCTTCATCTTTAAAAACCTAATTAAACCACCACAAACATTTTTAAATGAAGTTTGTGCAATTGAAAAGAATTGAGCGGAAGTATCAAATAAGTATTTTATCATCATTACACCGCATTTAACAAAGTATGGGGTTCAATGTGTTGGCAAGAAATAATTTTAGAAAAAATCGACCTAAAAATCACTCACAATCGCAAAACTGTTGATCCAGAATGACCGTTCGTTCTTCTTGAAATAAAAAGAAAACATGGGAGCACAAGACAGGACAAAAGACGGCGCGAAACAATGGACCATCGCCGATGTTCCATTGACGTGACCGCCTCTCATTGCGGATAAAAAGATTTTTACGACTCGGGCATCGACTCGAGTGGATCAAGCAATCGCAAGCACTCATCTAGACGCCCTGGGCGACGAAGCGAATAATTTCTCGGGAGATAAAAATGTTGAAAGCGGGGTTTCGGCAACAATGGAAATCGGATGCGACAGTCAATGATATCGGGAACTAATGCTTAACGGGTTTTATTTTCAATTGAACTTTTAAGTGCGCAAAAAGAATACTTCGATGTTTTTTGTTGTAGAACTGTTCATGCTTTAACTATGGTTTCGCGTAAAACACGGTGGTCAAAACTTAAGTATAGGACGAACAAAAATGCCAACCAAAAGTGATAGCATATTTTGATTATAATCACAGCCACACAAAAAAAAAAAGTCAGATACTTTTTACGAGACATATGTATTTCTATGTATTTTGACTCGCTGAATCCGAATCCGAGGTCAAAATAGGACCTTTCACGATTGGTTTTCGACATAACCTCAAAAAACCGGTTTTTCAAGTATAGAATGGCGAAACAAAGTTTCATTTTAGATTTCAAGCTGCTGAATTCATATATAGCATCAGTTTTATAATATAAGTATAGAATCTAAATCATAACCTCAAAACGTAGTTGTTTGAGCGGTGCTCTGCAGGACTAAGTAAGATTTACTATCAAAAGTCAGTGGTATGCAGAACTATATAGAAACCATTCGCAGACAGCTATCTAATCAACTGCTCTAAATTCTACTAATCCAATAATAAAAGTATGTTCTCCTAAAAAATGATTTAAAATTCACTGATTTTGATCCACCGAGGTGATTTATGAAAAACAAACGCTAGCTCGACTTATATATCGGATTCGATTCCTGAAAGTACGGAAATCTTACTTAGTCCTGCAGAGCACCGCTCAAACAACTACGTTTTGAGGTTATGATTTAGATTCTATAGTTATATTATAAAACTGATGCTATATATGAATTCAGCAGCTTGAAATCTAAAATGAAACTTTGTTTCGCCATTCTATACTTGAAAAACCGGTTTTTTGAGGTTATGTCGAAAACCAATCGTGAAAGGTCCTATTTTGACCTCGGATTCGGATTCAGCGAGTCAAAATACATAAAAATACATATGTCTCGTAAAAAGTATCTGACTTTTTTTTTTGTGTGGCTGTGTTATAGACCCTTTTGGTAACACTAACATGTATTTATCAAAAACCCAGCTGATCCTATTTTAAAGTTTTGCAAACTTTTTTGTTTTTCTATTTCTATATATTATTTACTAAAACTACCTGTACAATTTTAATAAAATTAAGTAAAATAATAAACTTTGTATCATTTAAATTACTTTACTCCCCAGTATTAATTTATTCAGTCACCTATTATTTTTTGCCACTCAAAACAAAATATAACAAAAAAAACGAAGATTTATATCTTAAATATTTTTTATAACAAAAAATACTGAAAGTTTGTCTATGAAATAATTACAACTTGCAAATTTTGTAAAACAATAATTAAGGTGGTTAGGAAAAAAATTGCTATACGTTATAACGCAAGTGACATTTTGCTTTAGTTGTTTATTTAATGTATACTTTATAAAGTTAAAAATAGTATTTTAAAATGAAAATTAAACCGAAATTCAAGTTAAGCCATAAAGAAAATCGAAAGAAGGTATGTGCTGGCTGTGGAGACAAAATTGTTTTTGGTAATCGAAAAATTCAGAGTTTAGGGTTTCTGAAAAAACGAACGGTATTTTTGCATAGCCACAATTGCCAAATTTTCAAAATTTAAAAATTGCTAGAGAATTTCGCGGCAGCCAAGAATGTATGTGCTTAACGTGTTTTACTCAAATTTATAAAACAAAGTTGCTTCTTCGATTATTTACCCTTTAAAAATTGTTAAATTTTAAACTAAATTATCAGTGCACAAGAAAATTAATTGTCGTTAGTAAGATCTACATTTTGTCCAAATTTCAAATCGATACGTTTTGAAATAAAAAAGTTATTTAATAAAATGACACTGAAGAAAAAAATAAAAATAAAAACAAAGTTGTCAATGGACGAGATTTTTTTTTGATAAAAGTTTCAATCATTTTTATTTCCAAAAAATATTTTTTATTTTCATGAATTTTCTTTTGAAAATACTTTTCCCGGCCACTGCAGTATATTTTGAAAGGATCTTTTATCCACGTCTAAACTACGTTTTACTTATTTTAATAGCCGTATAAGTTTCAAAAGCGCTCATATTTTAATTAAAGACTCATTATTTTAATTTAATAAAGTGTTAATAAAATGTTTTTAAACTTGGAACGTTTGAAGCTGTTAAGCGTAGCGTGTACTCTTAAGAAATTTGTTTACAATTCACAAACTCCTCATTTATTTCTCAAAAGACATTTTAAATACACAATTTACTTCTGTTACTCGAAGGTGCACCGTTTGAAGCCTCTTCTGTCGGGAAAATCGTATATTTTTCCGCATTTTCCTCCATCCACCACGTAGATATCCGACGATTCGGCGATGTCGATCATTTTCATGACGCACATTGCTACCTCGTCCGGTTTTTGGGGCTTGCTTTGAGAAGCTGCCTTTACGAGTTCGTTGACGTCTCCTAAACCCCTGGTATCGAGGAGATTCTTCAAGTTTTTTTTGGTCTCCGTTGGGCCAGGCAGCACACCCATCACTCTTATCCCCGTTCTACTGAAGAACCATTCGTGACCAATCAATCGGGTAAAGGTCAAACCAAAGTGTTTAGTTCCACTGGTAACTGGTAGAACGAAATCGGGATCTACCGCTGAGACCCCCAACACGTTAATAACAGTCCCCCCAGGCAGACATTTATGTTTCCCCATATACTCAAACGCCAAATGGGTCACATTCACCATACCGAACGTGTTGGTGCATAGAGTCCGCTCCCATTCGCTCTCTGACTTCATGTTGGCGTTATTCACCACCAAATCTATGTAGCAATATTTCTTCTTCGCGCATTCGAATACTTTCTGCATTTGATCTTTCTTAACTACATCCACATGTTCGAAGTCTATGTCGCAGCAAGGGCCTAGCTGTTTTTTTAAGGCACCCGCAAGTTCTTCTCCCATTGCTTTATCGTTGTCCACTATAATAAGTGCTTTTGGTTCATGGGGAACCAAGGCTTTCACTATTGATAGTCCAACACCAGAAGCTCCCCCTGTGATTATGCCGACTCTACCTTTAAAGGCGGGGGCATCAGAATACGATCTTTTGAGTTTTGATTCCTCCAAAGTTCGAACATTGCGATGTAGAGGTAGTATACTGCGGGTAATTTTCATACAATTTTGATGCAACATTTTACTACGAAATTTTTCACACAAAAACTAAAAACGTCACTTTGACTTAAATTAAATATTATAATTGTCAAATGTATTCTTCAAAATTTCAAAGTTGATAATCTGGAACAATGTTTAAGCTAACCCCTTTAAATTATAGTAAAACTAAGCTGATAACGAAGCAGGTTGCCTTATTCTCGAAGGATAAACTCCCCCCTCCACCAGCCTTCAAGTGCAAAGTGGCCATAGTGACCGGAGGAGCAGAAGGGATAGGTCTTCAGATAGTAAAAACCCTTTTGAAAAATGGAGCTAGAGCTGTGGTTATAGCCGATTCGAACGAGAAGAAAGGCTTGGTGGAAATGGCCGCTTTAAACGTTAAATTCGGCGCGGACAAAGCCTTGTTCCAAAAAGTGGATGTGGGTAAACGAGACCAACTACAAGGGGTTTTTGATTGCACGAAAAAACGCTTCAATAAAATCGACTTGGTGGTGAATAACGCCGGTCTGTGGTGCGATATACATTGGGAGAAAACCATGTGCACCAACATGTTTAGCCATATCGTGAGCACTCAGCTAGCTATACATCACATGGGGAAACATAACTGCATGATGGGAGGTGCTGTTGTCAACATCATGTCTGTGTTTGGTTTGGGGTTGGAACCTTTTTATTTCCCCATTACTTTTGGCAGTAATGCTTTCGGTATCGGTTTCACAAGAGCGATGGGTAACGAATGGTACTTTAAGAAAAGCGGGGTTAGAGTTATGGGGCTGTTGCCTGGATTGACTGAAACGAAGATGGCGCAAGTACGACGACTTATGGATGTAAGGGGCTACCAGGATGTTGGCGATTTGAGGCCAGAAATAGTTAAAATGACCATGGATCCTGTGCAACCGGTAGAAAATGTATCCAAATGCTTGATGACGATGCTAAAAATTGGAAAGAGCGGTGATATTTTTGTCAGTGAGGAATGCGAATGTTACAAAATAATACCAACAAGTCTTAAAGAGTATGAATTGATAACCTGTGGTAAATATATTGCACCACCGACCATAGGGGTATGTCCTGAACCACCCAAACCGAAACCAAAACCTGAACCCCCAAAAGAGAAACCTTGCGAGCCCGAGCCCAAGCCCAAACCATGCCCCGAACCCCCAAAGCCTAATCCCTGTGATGTTCCCAAAGCCAAAGCTCCGCCCAAACCCAAACCTAAACCTAAATCCAAAGACCCTTGTGATGCTCCAGAATCCAAAGGGCCGCCAAAACCTGAACCCCCAAAACCTAAATCTTCCGACCCTCCCGGATCCAAAGGGCCGTCAAAACCTCCCAGTGAACCCCCAAAACCCAAAGATTGTGAGGATCCTGAATCCAAAAATCCACCCAAAAAGTGACTGTTGTCTAAATTGTAGTAGTTTTGGTCCTGTCAAATAAAGAAAGTTGTGATTTACGTTGCGTACGTTTAGTATGGAAAATATAAAGCATTTAAATAGCAATTCGCGCTAAATTTAGTTCAAGACAGTTAAGTTTGTAATATATGACTTCCTGTCTAAATAATTTGGTTTCAAAAGAAAAAACGTGTTGAAATATGCATGAATAATTTCTTTGAGCCAAGAAGTTTAATATTTTTTCAGAAAATATTATATGAAACACATAAATTCATAACTGTCAATTTAGTGGGTATTTCTAATATTACTTTTAGTGCTTTTATACCTGGGATATTAAAATGACAATTTAAGCGTGTTGCTGTACAGTTTGCTATATTATATTAAAATTGCATTGTTGGAAAAAAGGACTTAAATTTTAATACCTTCTTTATATATAATCCAGAAAACCACCACAATATATACATAATATTTTTATTAATTTCGTATATAAATATTAAGTTATAAGAAATCTAATTTTAATTAATTAATATTTTAAAGCATCAATAATTGTTTAATTAAAATAATAACGGGCAATGTTAATGGTGAAAATTACGTCAAAAATGTTTATTGGGATGGTTACTTTATTTTTCTATAAATGTCGCCTTATACAAATATTTAATTTAAATAATTTTTTAGATAATAGTATTTGTCGTAGAAAAAGTATAGTATTTAACTCGTTTATAAACTTTTCTAGGCACTCATTTAATTAAGCACTCGCTCGCAAGCTAGCTGGCGTTTTTTTATCTTGATACATAATATATTATAAAACCTATAATACGAGGTGTGTTCAGAATATAACGGGAATTGTTAAATTTCGCGGGTTCGGAGGGTCCGGTTGTCATAAAATTTTCTTTATTATGTTGGTATACATGTACCCGAAGTATGATAAAAACTTTAGCTGTTTTCATTGTTTACTTTGTCTGTGGCAGCCGCTAAGGTTAGACGTGTTTTATGAACTCGGCGATTTTTCCTTCGTTAAAAGAAATGGATCAAAGAATTTGTATCCAATTTTGCTTAAAAAATGAAATAAATTCTGTGAAATGTTAACAAAGGTCTATAGTGAGTCTGCTATAAGTAAAACAAGAGTTTACAAGTGGTATAAGAGTTTCCAAGATGGCCGTGAAGACGTTGAAGATGACGAACGCCCCGAACGCACAAGCACATTAACAACCGATAAAAACATGGAAAAAGTGGAATTAATGGTTATAAACCATTAGAGAAGTCGCTGATGATGTTGGTATATCGATTGGCTCATCCCATGAAATTTTTTCGAATGTTTTGGGTATGAAACGCGTGGCAGCAAAATTTGATCTAAAATTGTTAAATTTTGTACAAAATTTCTGGCCAAAAACAATACTGTAATGATGCCCCAGCCTCCATATTCGCCAGACATGCCCCTGTCTGACTTTTTCCTATTCCCAAAAATAAAGAGAACCTTAAAGGGCCGTCGTTTTGCAAGCATATATGACATTAAAAGCGCATCGCTGAAAGAACTAAAGGCTATCCCAAAGATCGAGTTTTAGAAGTTTTCGAGTATTGGAAGAAGAGCTGGCACATGTGCATAATATCCAATGGGGACTATTTTGAAGGCGACAACATTAATGTAGACGAATAAATAAATATTTTTTTCAAAAAACGAAAATTCCCGATATTTTCTGAACACACCTCGTATATATTAAAATGGCTTATAATCGCCAAATTGATTAACAAAGCAAATTTTTTTTTAAATTTATGTAGGTATCCTTTTAAGGACGCCAATTTAGCGTTGAACCCCCCATAAATTTAAAAAATAGGAAAATTTAATGAATTTTGAAAAATTTCAAAATTCAGAAAATTTTGGAATTTTTAAAAAATTTGTAAATTTTGGAAACTATATTTAAAAAAATTTGAAATGTAATAAAAATTTATTGAATTTTAGAAATTTGTGATATTTCTCAAATTTTTAATTTTTTTTATTTTAAATATTTTGAAAATTAAAAAAAATTTAAAAAATTTTAAAATTTTTATACATTTTGAAAACTGAAAATTTCGAAAATATAAGAAATTTTAATTTTTTTAGAATTTTTGATAATTTTGAAAATTTTGAAAAATTTAAAGAGTTCATAAATGGTTTGATTAAAAATTTTCAAAATTCGTCATTCCACTTGAAAATTTCGTAAATTTAGAATCAAACCATTTATTAACTCTTTAAATTTTCCAAAATTTTCAGATTATTTAAAATTTTAAAAAATTATCAAAAATTCATAATTTCCTAAAATTTTTTAAAAAATCTTATATTTTCGAAATTTATAAAAATCAGAGTTTTCAAAATTTTAAACATATTGGAAAATCAAAAAAAAAATTAGTAAACTTTAGGCATTTTTAGAAAATTTTGAAATGTTAAAAGTTTGAACATTTAAAAATTTCGTTTATAAACTCTTCTAGGCACTCATTTAATTAGGCACTCGCTCGCAAGCTCTCGTGACTAAAATGGCGTTTATTAAACTTTATACATAATATATTATAAACACAATAATCTATAATAAAATGGCTATAATGTTAGGCTTGTAATCCCCAAATTAATTAATGAAGAAACATTTTTTTTAAATTTATGTAGATATCCTTTTAAGGACGCCAATTTAGCGTTGAACCGCCTATAGCTCATAAAATCGCGATCATTCATTAAGTTGCATTCATGCCTCCGGTCGCGAGTATAATAAAAACCCCAAGATTTACAACAAACATTTCGGGACCAAACAAGAGTCTTTGGATGAAGCGTGTACAAAGTTAAACATGCGTAAATCATCTTTTAATTGTTCGCAGAATTTTTAATTCCCTTGAAGTAATTGATAAAGGGCACTTAATTTTAACCATTTTATGACATATGACAACTGTCAACTAACTTGTTGCTAACTTCAGCCCGTGACTAAAGCGCTATAAAGCCATAGCTTGTCAATGTGTATTTAAAAGGTCATGTCATGAAAACATGTACGATAATGGGCGTTTTAAAGGTGGTAGTAAAAAAAGTACATTCAAATCTTCCAATATTATAAATGGTGCACTATAATAGAAGACCTAATTTTACTCGTAAAATATATTTTTTTGTTATTTATATCCAAAAAAAGTATAGAATATAAATCGCTTTATAACCCTGTTAGTCTCCCCTTGTACGAAAATAGATCGTGGAGTAGTTTTATTGTATAAAATTAAATTGATTGAAGCTTCTTCGGTAATATAATGCGTTCCCAAATAATATATAAAAGGAAATAAAAACGAATCAATTGATTTGCTTTCTATAAATTTTATTTTCTTGGCTCCAGAAACGCTATTTAAAAGTAACAAATTTTATATGGTTTTAAAGATTGGTTTTGACTCGCCCTAGGTATATATTTAAACTTTAATTAGTTGATTAGAATAAAAGTTAAAAAGCAAGTCTTTTTTCAAGAATATAAATTTTGTCCAGCGACTTTATCGCTGGCTGTCATAATAACTTCCAATTTTTCCTCAAGAACTAGTTGATACGGGGTAATTAGTATTCCTAATAGGCGCAATTAGAAACGACGCATGTTTTCAATTAATAAATTTCCATCCAGCACACTAATTGTTGTTTATTGTGCCCAGGTACACCGTATAATTAAGTATCTATTGCGGCTGGAAATTGTTTCAACAAAAAAAAAAATGTAAAAGTAACGGTAAAGTTTGTCTGCCTGTTGTAAATCGCGTTGTTTATACGGTTTTGTAGTTATTGTAAAAATGGTTTGTGTATTATTCATGTAATAAATTGTTTAACAAGGTCTTATTACAAAGCCTATTCATGAATAAAATTTATTAAGATATATTGTATGGCAGCGCGTTGGAATTTATACTTCTTTAGCATGAGTAAAAAATTTTCGAATGTTCGTTAAAAATTCTTAAAAAAAATTAAAACTAAATTTTGAAAACTGAAATTTTTTAAAAATTTGAAAATGAGTAAAAAATTTTAAAATATACTTACGAAAATTAAAAAAATTACAAAAAATAAAGAAATTTAAAAATTTTATTAATTTCGAAAATATAAAATTTCTTTAAAAAATTTAGAAATTTATTTAATTTTAAAAATTTTAAAATTAAAAAAAAAATAAAATTTAAAAGTTGAAAATTCTATGAATTTGTAAATTTTACATATAAATATATTTTGGAAAATCAAAAAAAAATAATTATAAAATTAGAATAGGTACTTTCGAAAAATGAAAATTTCGAAAATTTGAGAAATTTTTAGAATTGTTGATAATTTAAAGGGTTCATAAATGGTTTGATGAAAAATTTTCAAAATTTCACCCCACTTGAAAATTTTCGTAAATTTAAAATTTTTTTAATCAAACCATTTATTAACTCTTTTTTTTTTCAAAATTTTCAAATTTTGAAATTTTTAAAATCTCCAACATTTTAAGTTTTAAATAATTTGGAAAATCAAAAAAAAATCGAAAATTTAACTTATAAATTTCATATAAAAATTTAAAAATATAAAAATTTCAAAAATTCAATAAATTTCGAAATTTTTGTAAATCTTGTCAATTTTTAAAATTTAAAGAAAAATTGTAAATTTTAAGATTTTAAAAAGTTTTATAGGTAACTTTAGAAAATTAAAAATTTTGAAAATTATGGAAATTTTTAAAATTAAAAAAAATTAAAAATTTAAATATTAGGGTAAATTTAAAAATTTTGGAAAATAAAGATTTGGAAAATTTTGAAAATTGTAAAAAAATTAATTTTAAACATTTATAAACTTTTAACTGTTTAAAAATGCTCCGAAAATGTCAAAAAAGCGTCAAAAACATTATTTGCCCAGTGAAATATACTAAAAGGGTAAAAATTTAGAAATATTCTTGTTAATTTAAAGAAAAAATTACAATATTTTCTCAAAATTATGTACCTAATTGATTTAATTTCGCTGTAACTATTTTTACTATATATGTCATACTAAAATATTTTTTTCTTTTTTTTAGGTAAGTACCTGAAACAAATATCATCTGTATACATACATACATAAGTAAGTAATAGTATA